TTCTTGACACAGGAAACCATAGTTTGAATTTTGGGAGTGTAGTTTAGTAGTATAATAACCAAAATCAGTCTTATCATAAAAGTTATTAAGCATAGTTGCCAATGTTCTGCTTTTTAATGTCCTACTGAAACCTTTGCTAATTCAAGTAATGTAGTGTGTGAAAGATGTGCCCAGAACAGCGCTGATGAAGCCGTGTTCCTATTTTTGTTGCTGGAATCTGACTTGGCTTATGGCTTGACACGGAAGAAAAGTAACTGATGTTTTAGAAGCTCATCTGAATGCTGAACAGAAGACACTCCAGAAGACACTGTCATGAAATGAAAACTGATTTGCTGCTCTTCATTAATTGCTGTCAGAGGCACGTGCATGTCTGCATATACAAATGCTTATAGTTTAATGACAGACTCTCATTCTAGTTCAAATCTACATAAATTATACTACTTGTATAAGAAGAATCTTCTATATGAAATTGCAAAGGATGCTTCCCGATGTATCTGTGTTGTAAATCTTAAGTAGCGTGGCAGTACATTTTCAGTGTACAGAAAAAATGTGGTTTATTCCTCCACTTTATCATATTTGGATGCAGCAGAATAACCTGTTAGGCATCTTAAGGACATTTATTATCCTTGGTCTAGCAGTGGAGTTGGTTATTTTGGACTTTGAGTGGGCTAAGAAGCAGACCTACTTGTAGGCCTGAGGCATAATCCAGCATCTGCTAGTGTTAGTGAAACTTTTTTCCTTTGTAGACTTCATTGTGGTGTGTGTGTGTTTTTGTGTGGTGTGGGTAGGTGGGTGGGCTTGGGGTTTGGGGTTTTGGGGGGGGTGGTGGTTTTTTTTGTTTGTGTTGTTTTGTTGTTTTGGTTTTTCTTCCAGATTGGTTCCCTACCGTATTGTATTGGTTGTAGGTGGCAAAGTTATGGCAGTGAGGGGTCTGCAGGGGTGGCCTCTGAGAAGAGGTCAGGGGCTCTGCAACAGACCCACCACAGGACACAGCTGTGCCCATCAGCAAAGAAGTGGCACCTCTGGGAAAATGTATTTCAGAAAGGGCAAGATGCTGCACAGCAGTGAGGAAGTGTGAGAAACAGCCCTGCAAACACCAAGGTCAGGGAAGGAGAGAAAGGATCTGCTCATGTGCTCCAGGAGCAGATATTCCCCTGCAGCCTGTGGAGGAGACCATGCCAGAGCACATGGATATGCCCTGAATGATCTGCAGCCCACGGCCAGCCCACGCCAGAGCAGATTTTCCTGGGAGGAGCTGTAACCTATGGAGAGGACCCATGCTGGCACAGGTCTTCAGTGTCTGCAGCCTATGGGAGGGACCCGATGCTGGAGCAGGGAAAAAGTGCGAGGAGGAAGGAGTGAGTGGCAGAGAGGAACTGTTATGGACTGACTACAACCCCATGCCCCATCCCCCCTGTTTCACTTGGAGGGTAGGGAGGAGGAGGTAGAGGAATTGAGAATGAAGGCGTGAAGTTGAGCCTTGGGAAAAAGGGGGGTGGAAGGAAGCTGCTTTAGTTCTTGTCTTTGTTTCTCATCATCCAGGTCTATTTTAATTGGCAATAAACTAAACTAATCTTACCTGGGTCGAGTCTGTTTTGCCTGTGATGGTAACTGGTAAGTGATGTCTCTGTCTTTATCTTGACCCATGAGCTTTTAAATTTTATTTTCTCCACTAATCCTGTTAAGAAGGGGGAGTTAGAGAGCAGCTGGGTGGGTGGCTAGCAGCTTGCCAAGGTCAACCAGCTACAGATACAATCCCTTATGGGAACTGTATGTTGTTGATACCTTCCTGTGTGAAGTCCTAAAACCTCAAGTTTACACATGTAGGTTTTCTGTCCACTTCTCAGGAAGTACCAGATGTGTGCATTTGCATCCTATGAAACACAGTCAGTATACGATGCTTTTGAAGGCAGAAGTTTTGAAACTGTGTTCTCTAAAGCTATGGTTAGCAGTGTGACTGAGCTGGGGAACCTAGTGCGTGTCAGGGCTTCCAGAGAAAAGTTTGACGTAATGCTAATTTTGGAGCAATTTTTATGGATCCTAGTCCAAAATACTTAAAAACAGTGTTATTAGATAGTGTTTTAAACACAGTTAAGATTTGGAACTAGAAAGTTATGTGCCTCACCTAAAGTATGTGGTATGTGGGTTATTTACTTATTTACTTAGGTTCTACCCTATTCCAGCCTGGGAGGTACTTTCTTCCAGAACTCATGTGAGTGGGAAACGGGGAGGAAATTTCTGGGCAACAGTTGCTAAAGTGTATAATTAGTATTATATACTTAGGTGTCTCTTTTCATTGGCATAGGAGGGGACTTCTAATAAAAAGTTTCACATCTCTTTGGGGATTGCAGTATTGTGTACTGGTTTTGTTTTTAATTACAGATCAGAACTTATAGCAGTGGTTTTCTCTTGGTGTGTGTGTGTTTTGTTTTTTTTTTTTTTTTTAAAAAACAGTGCATGGTTTTACATGAAATGTCATGCTATGTCATTTCCTTGTTGTTTTCCATTCATAGGTCCTTCAGAATAATTTTCTG